TTCATATACTTTTACTAAGGCAAGTATTCACAATTGGACATAATCATTTATATATATATTTAGATTGACCCATTGGGTTTTTAAGGCAGTAAATCTTTATGGAAGTAGATTGACCCATCTTCCTTCCATGAAGAAGCTAGTGGGTTTGAACTGCCAACTTCTGGTTAGCAGTCAAATGCTTTAGGCACTATGCCACCAGAGCTCATAAACTTAATATTGTTGTTGTTGTTTTGTGCCCTCGAACTGGACCTGACTCATAGCAACCCCTCCTTGGGTTTCTGAGGCAATATCATTAAGAAAGTAGATTGCCCTATCATTCTTCTGAGGAGTGGCTGGTGGGTTTGAACCACCAGCCTTCTGGTTAGCAGTCAAGTGCCTTAGCACTATGCTACCAGAGCTCCTATACTTAATATTACAGTTTTGTTATAACAAAAAAAGGATACAAATGAAGAGATACATGAATAGTGAGAGGTCTAGGAGGGTTCCAAACACCAAGTTTCCATGTCCCAAAAAGGGACAGGCTGTGTTCCTATCTACACTGATGTCTTTCACCAACCAGGAAGTCTATGGAGCTTTTGTGTCCAGAGCTTTTATTGAACACTCCCACCCCTTTCCTCTGAAGTTTGTCAATATCATGAGGTGATCATGCAGTATTACACAGTGGGGCTCTCTGGCCTGGCCAGCTCCCACACCACAGTCACGCTATTACCTCACTAACCTGTTAGTTAGGTGTGGTCTGGAATCCTTATCAAAGACACTTAAATTACAAGGGTTTTTTTTGTTTGTTTTCTTTTCTTTAGAAATCATCTCTCAGGAACCCAGGACAAAAACCAAATTACTTCAGCTAAAGTTAAACTGTAAACACCACAGCTTCATAAGGTTTTCACTGGCTGATTTTCCAAACTGATTGCCAGGCTGTTTCCAAGTCTGTCTTAGTCTGGAAGTGCCACTGAAACCTGCCCACCATGGCTGACAGTGCTGCTTTTGAAATACTAGTGGCACAGTTAATAGCATTGTAGCAACATGCAAGTCACCACAGTACGACAAACGTGATAGATGGGTAGTGGTGAGTAGCTTACTTTTATTGATAACCATTAACTTTTCAGATAGCATTGCATTCTTTGAATATTTTCTTTCCTTAAATAGAGCATCATTTCCATTAAGATGCCCTCAAAGGATACATTTGCAGATGCATGAGCTCAAGATTTTATTTTTAACATCCTGCCCTTCTTTCATTAAGTAAACTTTTTAAACCATATGACTCATAACATAAATTACAAAAATAACATGATTATGCAAAACATAAAATTTACATTTTACATGGGTGCCAATTTGGTTGACAAAACATCTGTTAAAAACACATTGTGTGTGATATATGAGTGTCAAAAAATATTTATCATGAGTCCTTTATTGTTTTAACACTATAAACAAATATTCACAAAATAAATAATTGTTACCAAAATTTTCATTGGAACTGTTGTTTTTTCCTAAAACTCAAAATGTGTCAGCAGGAAAATCCGTTAGCATAAAGTTGTGTGAATCACCTGATCCACAATGATTCCTTCCATGAAAAAATAAATACAATGTAGAAATAAATAGCTTTGTAGTAAAATATAAAGGTTTCTGTCCTTTGTCCAATAAATAAATGGCATGTTTCAGTTCACTTTGTTTTCTTATGTGCTCTAGTAAATGATTTTTCTAGCTGCCAGCAGGGTGTTCCTCAGAAGCATTGCCACAGTCATGGGTCCCACACCTCCTGGAACTGGAGTGATGAAGCTAGCCTTCTTCTTAACAGCTGATGGAGGAAACAGAAATTTATCTGAAAATTTCATATTTTTAAGTATATAGTGTCTTTTTCTGCATTACACATATAATTCCAACAATCTCAGATCCTTTTTAGAATGAAGAAGGCTATGTCACACACACACACACACACACACACACACAC